CACTCCAAGATTATAAAAATAAATCCACTGGAGAAGTATTTTGGTGTGAGAAGTGAGGTGGGGATCCAGCTTTCTTTTTTTTTTTTTTTCTTTTTACATAAAGACAAGCTAATTGTCCCCACACTATTTTTTTTTTTTAGTAATTCCTCTCTCCACACTTATTTATAATGTCATCTTTCTAAAAAGTTAAATTTCCATATACATGAGGATTATTTCTGCACTTTCTAGTCTGTTCTATTTGTCTAGCTGTTGGTGGTTTCTTCGGTACCAAACTTAAAAATTTTTTTTTATTAAAAATTTTTTTTTCAACATTTAGTTTTGAGAGACAGAGAGAGACAGAGAATGAGCAGGGGAGGGGGAGAGAGAGGGAGACACAGAATCTGAAGCAGTCCAGGCTCTGAGCTGTCAGCCTGGAGCCTGACACGGGGCTTGAAATCGCAGACCGAGAGATCATGACCTGAACCCAAGTGTTTTATGTACAAAGTGAGTTTCTTCTAGCTGGCCTACAGTTAAGTCTTGCCTTTTTTTTTTTAAGTTTATTTATTTATTTTGAGACAGAGACAAAGCACGAGTGGGGGGGGGGTGGGGGACAGAGAGAGAAGGAGAGAGAGAGCCTCACTGCCAGCTCAGAGCCCAGTGTGGGGCTGTGTCTCAAACCGCGAGACCATGGTCAAGAGCCAGATGCTCAAACGACTGAGCCACCCAGGAGCCCCCAAGTCTTGCTTTTTAAATCAGTCTGACAATCCCTTACAATTGGAGGATTTAGTCTATTTACTTTTTATAAAAACAACTTTACTGAGATATAATTTACACACCATAAAACCTCTTCATGTAAACTGTACAACTCAATGGCTTGTAGTCTATTCAGAGACTGAATAGTAGCATTTTTAGTAGACTCACAGAGATTAGTATATTCAACAGAGGTTGTAAAACCATCACCATAATCTAATTTTAGATCATTCTCATCACCTTCAAAAGAAAGCTGGTACCCATTACCTTTCACTCCTCACCTCCATTCCCCCAACCTAGGCAACCACACCTTTTTCTGTCTCTGTAAATTTGCTTATTCTGGATTTTTCCTATTAATGGAATCATACAACAATTGGTCTTTTATGACTGACTTCTTTCACTTAGCATCACGTTTTCAGGTTCTTCCAGGTTGTGGTGTATATCAGTACTTCATTTCTTTTTATTACTTGATAGTATTACGTGGGGCATCTGGGTGGCTCAGTCGGTTAAGTGTCCGACTTTGGCTCAGTTCATGATCCCGAGGTTCACGAGTTCGAGCCCCGCTTTGGGCTCTGTGCTGACAGCTCAGAGCCTGGAGTCTGCTTCGAACTCTGTGTCTCCCTCTCTCTCTGCCCCTCTGCCCCCCTCTCGAAAATAAATATTGAAAAAAGTCAAAAAAAATTCCATTGCATGGTGATGCCCCTTTTTATTTACCCATTTACCAACTGATAGACATTGGGTTTTTTCCACTTTGGGGCTATTACAAATAATGCTGCTTGAACATTCTTGTACAAATTCTGTGTTTTCATTTTCATCTCTCTTAGGCACATGTCTAGGAGTGGAGTTGCTGGCTCATATGGTAACTTTCAGTTTAACCTTTTGTTCACCTTCATTTTTCAAAGATATTAAGAAAATCATGTACGGATGCATCTATGGACTTAATATTAATTTTCACTTTTTATTACGTTAATATATTACTTTACATGGAGTTACAGTAATAGACTTACAAACGGTAGGCCACTTAATTTCCAAATATTAAGCCACGTTTAGAGTATACTGTACTTGATAAAGATGTATTCTTTTGGTGTTCTGGTGAAATTGTCAGTTCATGCAGTTTTCAGGAATAAGTGAGATAGGTTTCTGGGGTTGGGTTTCTTTGTTTTTTGCTTTCTTCATCAGGTGTTCATCTCAGTGCTGTGTTTGCTTCATAAAAAGAATTCTGAAGACTTCCTTCTGTTTCTATGTTTTAGAAGAGGTTAAGGTGTCTGTTTACGTGGTTAAATTCTGCAGCACTATCTGGTGCTTTTTGAAGGAGCAATTTTTTGACAACTCCACTCTATTTTTTTTTTTTTTTTAACTTTAGGCTCCACGCCCAAATTCGGGTTTGAACTCACGACCCTGAGATTGAGAGCGAGAGTCGTAAACTCTACCGACTGCGTCAGCCACGTGCCCCAACAACTCCACTCTATTGAAATGGGTCTGTTAATAGCTCTCTCTCCTCTGGGATAATTTAGGTAATTTGCATAATGATAATAATAAACTGGGTTTCTGGACCAATCAAGTCCTCTGGGTGCAGTGACAGCATCAAGCTCTTAACACCCCATGGGGCACCTGGGTGGCTCAGTCGGTTGAGCGTCCAACTCTTGGTTTCAGCCCAGGTCATGGTCTCACTGTTCATGGGAACATGAACTTGGGCTCCGTGCTTCTTGGGATTCTCTCTCTCCCTCTCTGCCCCTCCCCTTGGTGTGCACCTGCTCTCTCTCTCTCTCTCTCTCACTTTTGAGATCTTTAAAAAAGATCCTAACACTCCAGGAATCATACTGTTATGTATTTTTGTGTCTGCCTTCTTCCATTCGACATCATGTATTTTGACATTCACCTGTGTTGTTGCATGGTGAGGATAATCTTCGAAGAGGAATTTCTTTTTAAGGATGATGCTCCCATGTGGATACACCACAATTTATCCGTCCACTTATTGAAGGACATCTGGATTGTTCTCCATTTTTTAGTATTATGAATAAAGATGCATTGGATTCTTGTACAGCTGTTGTAGCCAGATGGTTTTATATCTCTCGGGTGAGCACGTAGGGCTGGAATTGCTGGATCACACGGTAGATGCACGTTCAATTTTTCAACGAAGCTGCCAGTTTTCCTAAGTGGTCGTACCATGTTGTACTCACATGGCAGTTGGAGAGTTCCAGGTGCTCTGCGTTCTCACCGCCTTACCTGTACTTTTCACTTTCACCCTCCAGTGCACGGATAGTGCTACCTGCTGGCGGCTGGTGCATTTCCCTCTGACAAATGATATGGGATGAGCACTTTCTTTTATGCTTATTGGCTATTTATATATTTTCTTTTGTGAAGTGTGCGTTCACATTTTTGCTTGTGTGTGTGTGTGTGTGTGTGTGTGTGTGTTGGCTGTGTGGTTTGCCTTTTTATTACTGAGTTGCAGGGGTTTTTTATTCCAGGTACAGGTCCTTTGTCAGATATATCTGCTCTGAAGAGTTCCTCTCAGTCCGTGGCTTGATAGTGCTTTTTGATAAACAGAAGTTTTAAATTCACATGAGGTCCATTTATCAATTTTTTAAAAAAAAAAAATTTTTTTTTCAACGTTTATTTATTTTGGGGACAGAGAGAGACAGAGCA